TTTCCAGGTACTAGACATTTGAAATGCTGATTCAAGAAACTTTCAATAATTACTACATACTTTCGCTGTGTTGTTACACGAAATAAATCACTTTATTTTATATCTGAAAAAACATAATTATTTTCATTTTAATACAACCTACAAGAATCAAGAATTTTATTTGCATTAAACATTTTCACATATTCTACAAATACATTCGTTATGTAAATAGAAAGTGATTAAGTTTATATTAAATATTATATTCACATCTCAGTACGTAGAAAATATATTAAAAAATATATAACAGAGCAAATTTCCATCTTAAAATTTTCTCTATTATTCAAATTAAGGAATTTTTCACTGTTATTGTTAGATAATACTCTCAATAGTAACAGGTGTTTCCCATCACTAGTTTTTTGTTATATTCAGTGCGTTGTGTGGTCAAAATGAATTCATAAATTGTTTCTCTTCTGTAGAACAGACGCATAGAGCGAACTAAAAACGCAGCTAGTTATATATTGTTTATATATTGGTCTTTGGCCTGCATGTAAAAATATTTTAAAATATCTATAGAGGTACTGAATAAACCCATATTAAGACAGAAACGATAGAGGGTTAATTAGACCACACGACGCACTGCAGGAAAGTCTTCTATGTGCCAAGATGACCTCTTGACGCACCAGCTGAAAGTACACTGAAAAATGTTACGCAGCGAACGTGTTAATCTGTGGGCGGTATTGCAGCAACATGTAAAGCAAAAAACCGATTATTTTATTGATATCAATCCGAACAACATGCAAGCTAGGTAAAGGTGGTTGAATGAGGAGTCCCTTTTATTTTTCAGCGTGCAAGCTATGAATGACTCGTATGCATGTAAGGCCGTTTTTTTGCGGACAACAAACCGGTGCGATACGTTTGTCTTTTTCTGTCAACCCCTCGATAATAAAGACACCCGCATGGTACTGGCCCGGTATCCACTGAACAAAAAGGTTAACAAGCGATTTAAACGTATATTAGGGACTTTTGAGTATATAGCCATACTTAATAATCTTAATATACTACAGATCGGATTACGTTTTTTTTGCGACAATTGTAACACAATGTAATATATTGTCTTTAGCATACTGAATTATCATAAACATAATATAATTAACTCATTATTTTAATCAATAACTACAAATGAATCGATTAGACATATTTTATATGTTGTGTTATCTCAGTGACCGGTATCAGTCAGTAAAATTGTGTAAGGAAAATGTATCGGTACTAACATCTCAACCTAGTTTGATTGATCGTGGAGTTCCTCAAGGTTCCATACTGGGGCCTCTTTTATTTATTATTTACAGTGCGGATCTCCCCTTGGCGATTGAACATTGCAAGTATCACTGTTATGCTGACGATGTTCAGCTGTACACATCAACAACCCCCGATATAAACGATGCCTTGCGTAAAGTGAATGAAGATCTGAAATGTCTTGAATCCTTTAAAATCTAAGTTTATGACGATGATCATAAACTTAGATTAACGCACGCACCGCACTAAACAACAGCCTGAAAGACTTGCTAGTTGTAATCCTACGCTTCGAGTGTTGGGGTCAGACATTGAACATGTGAGCGAAGCCAGGAACTTGGAAATGGTGTTCGACAATAAGCTGCGTTTTGAGAAATATGTTTTGAGTCTTGTAAGGCGTTGCTTTTATAGGTTAAAAACTTTATATAAAATTCGGAATTTCCTTACAGAAAAAACACGGATCGTTTTATGTGAGTCGCTGGTTTTATCCGTACTGAATTATGACATATACTAGATATGGCCCTCGTTTGCTTTCTAGTACTCAAAGGCTTATCCAGCGAGTTCAAAATGCTTGTGGTCGCTTTTGTTTTAATATCCCCCCTCGAACCCACGTGTCACCATTTCTTAATAATGCCTCATTATTGAATATGAAGTCACGCAGGCATCTGCATTTGGCAGTATTTATATTTGATCTGTTAAAATTTAAGAACCCGGAATACCTTTACAAAAAGTTACAGTGTCGTAACTTCCATTCTCGATATGGATCAGGTATTTGCAGATCAATACGTCCGATATTGGCGACTCAAAAACATAAGTTGTATTTATGGGTAGTTTCCGCTACCAAGCGACTAAGTTTTGGAATGATTTACCTCCTCCTACGTATAAGGCATATAATATAAAGGCATACTTTCAAAAAGTAAGTTAAATTAGCCTTACTAAATTTGCAAAGTTTAGGCATACGCACTAATTGTCTTTTTGGTGGAGGTTCTTCTGTCAGTATTCAATCATTTTGACAATATAAATTAAAATTTATATTTCATATTATTAATTACACACATTTGTTTATTATGAGACAAGTGTTAAAAATACAAATATAATGGAAATTAATGAAATACTTATTTATTATATTGATGTTTGTTCTTTGAAGTTATGGCTCATTTTATTTAACATGGTTTTGTGAAAATGAAAATACTCGATTTTTTATATAAATTAGGTGAATGTACATGGACGAACAAGAACGATAGTACCAATGGGCATTCTCCTTTTCATAAATTATCTCCTGCTCCTAAATACTAGACACTTACAGCCTTATTAATTTAAAAGGGGGCAAAATCTGATAATAGACTTTGTAATTGAGGCATTAAAAATTATTTAGGAGCAGTGGACATTTTATGAAAATTTTAGTACTTAATACTGTTTTTAGCTTTCGACATTTAAAATGTCTGATAGTAAATGCGGCTGACACAATCCGCCTTATTACAAAACGTGGACTAAAGTTAGACTTGGTTTATACCTAATGTTATCTCTGTCTTCTTTTTAGCAAACAAAAGTGACAGCATCAGTTTTTAGTATCCACTGCTCCTAAATAATTTCTAATATCTCAATTTCAAAGTCTTTTATCTGATTTTGCCCCATTTTAAATTACGAGTAAGAGCCTGGAAGTCAAACACTCAATCAGTAAACATTGATACCACTTGAACTGTTTCGACCTTTTCGAAGTTTTATTCGCCGTTTACCTCGTATTTGTAACTTTGGTTTTCCAATAATCTCAGAGATGTATTTAAACCGATAACGGTAGTTTTTTCTCAGAGACTACTAATAAATTTAATGTCATTCAAAGTCACGTGCTGTCTATGTCTTAAAGTTAATTGAAAATAAAGCTCACATGTCAAATATCTTAATATACTAGTACAATGAACCTAAAACTCAAAAACCTTATAAAATATTATATAATCACTAATATATATCATTAAATGGAGTCCCTTTAGGCAAGGTTCCGAAGATACTGGCTGTGTTCCCCCTTTGAATAGCTAGACTAATTCTTTGTCTGAGGTAGCTGCCAGCTCTTCGGTTTCCTTTGATGTTAACTAACCTTTTTGCTATTTCTTTAAGAAGCCTTATAGCGCTAGGACCCCACGGACCAAGGGTCTCGACACCGTATGGGACAAAATCATATTCGGAACCTAGACCCCTGAATTTGCATGCTTTAGTTTTTCCAGCCGCTTCATAAGCCGCACCAGCTCTGTTGTGGGTTCCATCAAGATGGGAAGGGGCCAGCGTATCTGAACAGGTTGCATCCTATACCAGCACCCGGCCCATCTTCCATGGAATCAAACTCATACTGTCCGGTCTCTTGCCATCGTCTCTTGCAATATAAGTCGTCTTAAGTAGACTTGGCAAGTTGACGGTGATATCCTAGCTTGTCGATATCACTGCCACAGGGACATTTATGAGGAGCACAGGCCGGAAACCCAAACCGTAGACAGGTTGCGATTCGGAGCGTGTCAGGCTCAAGAAATGTTCCTGTATTTGACTAAAGGTACGCGTGAAGCCAGTAGCAGGCCTCATGCATACTCACGGCCAAAAGCCTAGCACACGCCGAAACTATACTACAGCTCTAAAGATTGTCATAAGTCAATTTGCAGTTTATGTCGTTCCAGATCCTTTATGAATTTAGAGAAACTGCAAAATTTTGACCTTGGCATGCAATTAAGAAAGCGTTTCTAGCTTCTTCCAAGCAATGTTTGAAGGGGATGCCCTTAAAATTTTACTTATGCGATTAGGTCAACTATGGACAGAAGATAGAAAGGCTGGTAAAGCGACACTGGAAATTTTGAATTAAATCACAATAACGGATAGGTAGAGCTGCTTGGGTCCAAGATTCCCGTTCGTTTTGAATAAGTCGTCTTCATGTGCTAAAAGATCTGGGTGATTCCAAAAAGAGCAGCAACGGACCACATATGTAAATTTTGGGACGACAAGGCAGAATTTAAAGATGCAAAGTGCATAATGTGAACTAATTTCAAGGAGACGGTCAGCAGAATTTTGAAATTTAGTAATTGAATTATTAATATATTCAGAAATAGATTAATCAAAAATTGGAGAATCTAAAAGGTAAAGGGGTATTTGGAGAAAAAAATATTAAACTTTTATTTTACGTCATATAAATTTAAGTCGCAGTTATTTATAAAAAGTTCGCATTTGCTAAAATTAAGCTCCAAACCAATGGCTTCAAATTCATTTTTGATTACATAAAGGTCCGAAAATCATAATATCCATATTACCTAATAGGGTTCCGTCGTCCAAATACCAAACGTTGAATTTAGAATTAAAATTTTTGATTAACGGATTTATAGCCAAATTAAAAATTGCAGACCCAAGGGGATCACAATGTTGACAATCTACTTTCGCCGACAGTTCATTAGAACGATATAACAATTTTGTTAGGTCAGCGTAACTGAGAAGATATTTCCAGTATATGTTGTTTTATTTCCATCAGCAGGGTATCCCTATTTATTGAATTGAATGCATTTTTGGCATCAATTTTGAGCAACACGTCAACACGCATGGACAGCTGCCTCTTAACTGAAGTATTGTTTTTACGATTATAAACTTAGTATCGTATAAAAGTATTTGCTGTTGGTAAACCGACAGCGACCTTGCTTTCCATGATGAATGACGTATTTTCATATCTACAAAGTTTGTTGGTTTGTAAAGTTCGTTTGTCTTATTACGGCCCTGATTTCATATGCCGTTAAATATCAGCACACTCGCACCTATCAGTATCAATTGGGAGTTAGGACATCACCGGATAACCAGTGTACGAAAACAAATTATTATATTTGAAAATGTTGACAAAGATTACCATAATTTTAGCTGTGATCGGATTAAGTTCATGCGCAAAAAGTATAGCCTTCTTACCGCCAATACCTAAAGAATTCGGTGAGTCACATCATTGTGTTCGACAGTTCATAAAACTAAAGTTGGGTCATTTTTGTTAAAAGAATAATTATATTTAGTTATTATATAATTTTAATTATAGCATACAAATTATATTAAAGAGAAAACACCGCTTAACCGTAGTGTGTAGTCGATGAAATATTAAAATAGATTTTATTTTATGCGATAAACGAATAATTTGGGCCTATTTACTGCTGACCTGATTTATCATATTTTTTTATCAAATTGTGCATCGAAATGCGTCAAAAAATATGTGTTCTTTTCTCTCTCTTTATAATTATTTTGATTCTCATCAGTAAATAAAAAACTACCACCTGGGTTAAGTGTAAGTTAAGTAGAAATTCGAGGAAACATGATGCAACAAAAAACAAAAATGGCTGCAGATTTCCCCTATTCCCTTATAGGTAGATATCATAAACTATCAAACACCCCGGATTCGCACGACAGTCGCTAATTCATGTTTTTATTCTTTTATGAATGAACAAAAGAAAAAATGACGAAGATAAAGCCCGTCAAAGTTTAGAAGTTTGGCCAGTGACGCCTGCTCGAAGTGAAAATTGTACCAAGACGTGACGTCATGCGACATTTCGTATTAATATATCTCTTTAATACGTTTAAGAAAAAATACGTCTCCAATAATTTTTGATAATATACGTAAAGAAAAAAAATTTAGTCATCGTCCCTATTCGAGTGATAAATCTTCTATGGGTTTATTCATAAACCATTTCAATGTAGTATTTGGATAGCTACCTACTAATTCATTGAATCTTTTCATTTCAGAGGGCAAGCAAGGTTGCTATATCAAAGAAGTCCATGATGTCGTGCCTTTTGGTACTGTTCTAACACCCATCGGAAATTGCGTGAGAATCAGTTGTGGTGCAAGACAGATTGACTACGCAACGTAAGTAAATTACAAGTTTATTTATTACCAACCATTAACTGGGAAAGGAGCTCGATGGCGCAAGTTATTAGTTTAGAGATCGTGGTAATTAAGGAATTTTCGTAATGGCCGGTCATCGGATGGGTGTCCAAAGTTCCCCTGTGCTTCAGAAAGCACATTAAGCCGTTCCGCACTGGGTCCTTGTGGAAGGTCATGGCCTACCTCATTATTAGACCTGAAGGGAAGGTTTATGCTCCAGCACTGGGGACATTAATAGGCTGACGTTGAACTGATAGTCTTTTGAGTCCATTTAATCACGATTTTCTGTAGCGTTATACAATCTGCGAATCATCGTCTGCGACAGGGTACTCCTGATGGTAAGCGGCGACCATATTCTATAGACAATTTTATTGTGAAACCAAAAAATCTCTCGCACTGTTGTCTACCCTGACCCAATCCCCTATTAAAATCTATTAACCAAAAAAAATCTTTCAGATGCGGTACAGCAATAACTACTAACCCCAAATGTTTCGTCACGAAAGAAGATTTGACCAAACCGTATCCAAATTGCTGTCCAACTGTCAAATGTATCTAGGATAACCATATTTAATTATATCCATTGCAAAATTATTATTATAAATGTGATAATAATGCCCAAATAAACAATCTGTTTTAAAAGCTTACAGTTTCCAACAAATTATTATATAATTGTTTAAGCATTACAGTTTTCATTAATCACTTAAATAAAAAATTAGTTGTTGAAGTCGTTTGTTTATTCTTCTATTCATATTTATCTATTCTATTACATTTTTTTTTGTTATTATATTTGTAGCTTAACCGGCCACGAGTGGTAAGCTCCCGTCAAACGGTGACGTGATGTGTGTAATTTATTTTTGTGACGTTTCAAGATGTCCTCGTACGTTATGGTGAAAATTAATTTAGCTACTTTTTATACGACACCAATATGGCACAGAAAAGAAGCGAACCATAAAAATAGAAAGGCAGATTACTTAGAATTAAAAAAATCTACAGTTAAACGAGCGTTAGGAATAAATTTTAAATTCGAGGCGCTTCTCGCCCCGCATGATAAGGCTCAGATAGGTAATCTCCTAAAGGTCAAGCCTCGTCAAGTCCTGATATGCTCGTTTTGCTCCCTCGAGGTTCAAAACGGGTCTTAGTTTAGACAGCAGAGGTCTCAAACAAGACCGGTTTTTAAACTAGTTCGTGCTTGGGGCACATGTGAAAACGAAACGTCTGTAGGTTCGTTCCTTTACACATTTGCTTGGGGTACCAATCAGGACAGTCTCTTTTTTTTTGGTTTGACATACACATTGACGTTAGGTTTACAGATATTGTCACGCAGTTGGTTTCAAGTAGAATTTACACGCGACTAGCGACACGTGTTGTCAAAATCGATAGCGGTAAGTTTAGGTACTTCATTATTTTAGTGCATGGTAGGAGCTGACCTTCTTGCTTCTTTACATTTTCAACGTGGGAGAAATCGCAGGGGATATTTATGTCCTCTATAAAACTTTAGTACATTACTTTGCTCTATTGTCAATGACTTCCGCAGCATAAGTGATATATATGTTATATTTTGGTATTATTTTCACACCCTGAGTTACATTATCGTTTTTTCATACGGAACCCTAACTTTTTTGAAAATACTCTGTAGCCTATGTTCATCAGGGATACTGTAGGATTCTAAATATGTAAGATTTTTTCAAATCGGCTCAGTAGTTTCGGAGCCTATTTAATACAAACAAACAAACAAGCAAATATTTCCTTTTTGTAAAAGAGAAGGCGCCGCCCGCCACTTCTACCACGTAAAAGTATTTTTATTTTTCGTGTTAATATATAGCGTATGGCACTCATAAGTAACGTAGCTTTCTATAAGTAAAAGAATATTCAAAATCGGTTCAGTAGATCCAGGGATTACCCCCTACAAATACACAAAAATTAGCTCTTTTTCGCATTATTTTTATCTTAGATTAAAACAAAAAGGGGATTTGCCATCAAAAACATAACTTGTAAAAAAAACAAGTCTGGCAACTCAGTTCTACTTCTTCAATCGTCAAAAGTTGTGAGATCCATGTTATGCCAAGTCGGTTAATTTATTAAGCCCCTACTTAAGGAACCTTCTGTCTTGAGTTATTACGGAATTACACCTATTTATTATACATACACTGATTTATTAACTGCAAATGTAACTTTGTAATCCTATATATTTATATGAGATTGCAAAGTTATTTATGCAGTTAGTATATCTAGAAAACTGGGCCGAAATTGCAAAATATTTTAGTTCTTCCTTGATTTATCAATCAATACTTTATTGCTTTATACACTTTACACTAACCCCCTTATTAATATACAAGGAATAAGCTTAGATAAGTTACTCCATGTTTTGTTCATGTCACTCAAATGGCATTTGTCATTCAATAGACAAAGACAAAACATGGAGTAACTAATCCAAGCGTAGTCTTCGTTTATTAATAAGGGTGTAACTGTATTCTAAATTTAAAGCTTCTATGTCTGCTACAAGTGCCTAAGAGTTTTGATGATCGGTCAGTCAGTCAGTGAGTGACAAAATTAAGAAATTTCAACTAGTTATAATTCTGAAACAACGTGATCAAATTCAATGAATTTGAAATATACCGATTTAATACAATGCTTACTTGGTTACTGAAAATTCAGGCTTCTAGTTTTATCGTCAACGAAGTTATAGGGGGTTGAAAATGGCCTGAACTCTTTCGAGAAAAGGATGGTACGGCCGTGCCGCTGTTTTTGCTCAACTTGGCGGGGGCACGGCAGTGCCCGGCAGATTTTGTTTTAATCTAAGATTAGTGTAGATTGCCAGTTTCATTTTAAAGGTACTATCGCACTGAGAATCAACTTTTTTTTACGCTGCCGCCCCCTATAGCTAAATCGATTATGACGAATTTCCCCATAGAAATAAATAGGACCTTGGTTCTAAGCTATATTATCGAAATATTTATAGGGGAGATGAAAGGGGGTGAGTTTCACCTAAAGAACTTTATTTTACTTGCTTAAAATTTTGCTGAATTATCGTTTATAATTACAAAACCAACATTATCGCGAGCTGATTAATTAATACAGAAAGTCCATTAAGTATGTATCTACTAGGGAATACTAGGTTAGTGTTATTTCACATTATGTTAAGTTACCCTTTAGTAACATCAAAAAATCGTTAGAATAAACTTTAAAAACAGTATAATTCTGAGTTTTCATTAATTTTAATAATCATAGATATCTATTATAATAATTTATTTTTCATCATTTAATAAGAACGAACTGTATCACAGCTTTATTGTAAGTAGTTCGTATAGGATTAGATACTGCTAGTAGCCAATTTTCTTCTTTTCCTACTAGGTTTTATCTACGTTTAAACACCAAAATTCATCAAAATTTTCTCCCACCATTCCCGCAGTCTACTCCTGCATAGTACACCGCGCTATGACTTTGTCATCGTTGTAACTTTTTAAATATTTGTCGAAATGACATAACATAAAAGGCAAAGTTTATCATCTTTAAATATAAAAAGCAATAAAAGTATTTGTTTTGATAAAAATATGCCCCTTGGAAATGGATATCAAATAATATTTTATTTTTTATTCACTGTTTTAGCGATAATAGCTTACACATTAAAAATAGATATATGCTGTTGCGGACTTTTTTGTAGAACTATTTAAAAGGTAAACTTTTACTATACATTATATTCATGTAACTTTTATTGTTTTTGCAGTGCAGGCCAAAATAGCTCGCAGATGGGAGATTTTTTCCGTCTTACGTGACACTTATTGTTATATTTTTACCAATTCTATCAATAACTACATACATTATTATCTTCATGTTGTTATTATTATGTATGAGCTATATTATCGTTTAGTTTCATTAAAATCTATTGAGTATTTTTTGACTGAAAGAGTAACAAAGATCCATACAAACGTAAGATCATAAGTTTGGCCTCTAGTGTGCCATAAAGGAACATACATACATAAATAGACTGAACACTATACCTTGTCTGCGCATCGCACTTCGCGCTCTTTCATTGCGCAGTCGGGTAAAAAGCGTAACTGCGAGCGACCGGGGAAGAAATAGGCTCAATGGGCGCTCTCGCAGTCTCGCACGGCCGCGTCCCGACATGTAACATCGTCGCATGTTCGCAGACCGGCCGCGTTTTGAAATAATGTCGTGCGAAAAAGCATACTTAAAACTTTATTTACTAAGCCATTTTTCTAGATAGGAAAAAGTAAAAATACAGATGTTCTTATATTTTTTTGTAGATGACTGTGGCATTTTTAGAGAAAATCGTACGTCATCTCCATTAGATATTCAAGAATACATAATATTTTTCAAAAATGGGTCCCGACGGTTAAAGTAGCTTTGTTTCTTATTAACAGAATTATAGACTACTAGACTTGTTTTTTTCTTTTCAATTTTTATTTGAAGTATAATTAAGCAGTCGGGTTTTTTTAATTTTTTAAATTTACCTTATTTATTTCACACTTTTTAGTTAGTATTTTAAGACGATATATACCGTAGTCTTGTTACTTCAGTAAGGGGATTAATATAGCGGGAATTATTACACCTACCTTGCGGTGGTCTAAAAGATTGATTTATTAAGACGTATAGAGACTTTACCAGCGGGGTCAAGGCTACAGATGGGCCTCAATTTTCGCAAAAATGTGTGAAGTTAAATCAAGTCGTTACATAAATATCTCTAATGTATGTAAATTTTATAGTAAGGTAGCACTTAGCCAAAGGTCATCTTTTGTTTATGTTCATTTTAGTAATTTAGCAGTAAATATAAAATTCATTTACTTTTATTCGTAGTTTTCTTTTAAAGCGTTCACATATAGGACAGGTAAAGGACTTTGTGATCGACCCTTTTTTATTGGTAGTGTAAAGCTCGAATGAAGAGTACTTCCACCTATCAAGCGTGCTGCTACCAGCCTAGTAGGTATTGCAAATAGTGCAATCATGGCAATTATTTTCCAAATATTTTTTTGTATAAAAAAAATACCGAATAACGTATCACTATTAAGCACAAATGCTAAGAAACTTTTACAAATATAATCAAATAAACCTAAGTAATAACTTACTTTATTTTTAAATATTTTTCATTAATTAAATACTATTATCCTAACTATCTATACTAATATTATAAAGAGGCAAGATTTGTATGTTTGTAACAAGTTATATAATCTGTCAAACTACTGAACCGTTTTCAAATATTAATAGATCATAAGGTACGAGCTGCTTTATTATTTATTACATTTTTCTTTATTTAAATACATTCATCATTCATGAATAAAATCAATTAGAGTTGAAGAACGATTGTTTACCTTTAATTAAAAAGGTATGAGATATTTAAAGTAAAATATAGTCGGCCCGACGCTAAAAATCATAAAAAAATCAGAATTTACATGTGATACAAAAAAAAACAGGAAGAACAGCAATTTCATAGGTAAAGACCCCAATACATGAAGAATATAATTTTCTCCTTCTTGGTTTGAGGTTGGTTAAAAATAAGGTCCCCTTATTACCTGAAGTTTGTTGCATCTTTTTTGTCCAACCGCGTTCCTTTTATTTGTGGTTGGACCTTCAAACTCTCTTGCACTAGAATGATTTATGCTGAGTTGTTAATTTCGGCAATTGGGGTTCTTTGAAGTATATCTCTATCTTGGACAATCAGGT